GTCAATATGCCAATTAAGTACAATCCACTTTGAAAGTGAGTAAAAAATAATTTAAGGACAATAAAAATCCTTCTGGTAAACATTTAAAATATCTGATGTTTTTCTGCCTTTACCTACATTTTTTTGGTGTTATGGTCTCTGTAATGGTTATAAAACCTTAGAATACCTAAAGTGCGTAAAAGCATACGGAAGAGTTCAAATTAAAAGACAAACAAGAATGCATTTCAATGTTTCAAGAAATACATATTTACTGTACACAAAATATGCTAAATGGCAGGATACCTTTTGAGCTATATGTGCTGACCATTTATGTGTATAGACTATGAACTCTTGTACATTTAATAATTCTGGTCACCAGCTGTGAAACTTGTCGCTGTACACAGATAATAAACCTACGTTGTTTATTATCACAGACCTTGAGACCGTTTTTCAAGTGTAAGGATAACTAAATGTATCAGGCTCAGTGGATGAAGGTCAGTCGAGATCTTCCCTAAATAGGCATGCACTGTTTATTCAAGCGTTGACTACTCAAGCATATAATAAAGTTTTGGTGATTTGAAACCTGCTGCATCAGCTGATGCTCGACTAAGATGTCTCTTTACAGCCGCTTACTCTGAATTTTTCTAGCCCTCACAGAATCACTAGATATTTATATTCTTCTCAGTTTGATATATTTTTTACGACTTTCACAGCATACTTGTCTCTGAAACATGAATACAGTCCTAGATTCTAGAAATTCTGCTTACACTAAACATTTTTAAAGTATGTTGGCAAGTATGTTAAAAAAAGAAGGAAAAATACAAGAGAGACAGGAGCAGTAAAGGCAGCTCTTTGTTTATTTTTATATTTTTTAGATTATTACTTGTGGGGTGCTGACCCTTGTTTTGCATTTACTGGCATCAAAGGCTTTGAGAGGTCTTGACTTTGCTTTCTAGACTCTGCAACTTTACAGATCCCCTGGAAGGTACTGTCCACGAAGTATGGTCCTATAGATTACCATGAAACATCTTATATTTGGTCTTATATTTGGAAAAGCGTTAGAGTTCTATTGGTAACTATAGTGCAGGGAATTCCCAAATAATTAGTCTTTCTCTGCTATGGTAATGAATCAAGTGTCTTAGGTGTAACAAAAGAGTTTTTTCTAATAAAATTATGTAAACTCCAAAAGTGCTCCACTTCTCTCCCTAGTGAAGCATCACTGACATTTTTTTGTTTTGTTATGAACCTGTAATCAGTGTCAATCCACTTGAAATAAGTTATGCCACTAAGATATGTTTCTATGAGTGTGTTTCAAAACAGTCTCCATTCTTCATATATAACTGTTACATGCAATAATCCAACTTCCCAGAAGCATTTAGTGGTGGCACCACTGCCGATTGTATTCTTTCTTTGTCAGAAACATGTTTTCAGCAGCACTAGGATATCTTTTTTTTACCACTAGCTTTAATGTAATCCTTAGTTTACAAACAATGTTCCCTACCTGAAAAAAGAAGTGAAGAAGAAAAGTAGAAATCCCTTGTAGACACTCAAGGGTCGGCTCCTTAGAGCCTAATAAAATAACTTTTTATTCTTGACATTTGGGGATTGACAGGATTTCTGCTTTACCTTCACCTCATGTTTGTGTGTGTGTTAAAAACATCACCGCTGGAAATTTTCTTAAAGGTATCTTGCATTTCACAGCATATGTTTCAACTGGTAGAGGTGCATTTGTCATAATTTTACTTCACTCTTGACTGTATCGTTTCTATTTAGACCTCTGGCTTTTGGACCGAGTTCTGAACACAGCTATTCTCTCCTGTTATTTTCCTGCTGCAACCAGAAGTTTTTCTATGTTTTCTTTTTCTAGCATTTAAAAATGAATTAAAAATAAAATGTTAGGAATATCATAAGGCCAATTTCATGTTTTTCCTTTGATTTGAAAGGTCAATAGACTCAAAAGTGATACTTTAGTTATATGTAAACCTTGGTGTAAACAGTCTGACCCTGGTTTATTATACGTCTTGGATACTCTAAAAGTGAGATTTCCCTGTCATAATTCAGGGCTCTGCTAAGAGTTTTAGGTGTTCTCACCCAGGTTTGCACATTCCAGCACTTCCTGTTGCATTCTTAATAATATAGAAAGAGTCATATAATTGCCACATTAAGAATGCAGATGAGGAATTCAAGTGTGATATCTTAACAATCAAGTCCCAAAGAGATATAAGACATTTGCAGGTGCTTTAACTCTACTATATCTACCAGAGACATTATTACCATTGTTCAGTGGACAGACTCTGTAATATATGTTTCTTGGAAGTCCCAAGAAATCACAAGGAGCTGCCTGCTTCTGACAGCTGGGCGGAGCCAGCCGTGATCTTACGGCTGGCTCCGGCTACTTGCAGTGAGATCAGCATCCCTGGTTACCTGCTAACCAGGGACACTGATCTCCAAACAGCTATTCTCCCTGGCCCCCCAGGAGTCTCCGGCTCCCGGCCGCCAAGGAGAGAAACACTGCTGTGTCCTTTTTTTTCTTTATTCTGACACGATCGATGTCAAAATAGAAAAAAAAAATTCCCATTGAAAAGCATTGGGACATTACTATTGGCTATTTCAATTTGCAATAGCCAATAGTGAACTAGCATTGTACCCGCCCTCTGTTCCTTTTGAGCGGGAGGCTCCCAGAGCGCCCGGGAGAGTTTTTTTTTCTTTTTTTTTTTACAGCAGCAGAGCCGCCGGACAATAAAAAACTGTTGGGCGGAGCTAGCTGTCACGGCTAGCTCCGCACAATCGTTTTCTATTTACTTTTTTGACTTTTTTCACTATTTTACTGTTCTGTTTGGTCCCTCTGAGGGACCGAGCAGAACAGCCGAGCCGAATGCCGCTCAGCGTCATTCGGCTATTCACTCACTGCTGTTCGGCATCTTTAAGAATAGCCCGAACAGCAGTGAGAAGCCTGCCGGAGGTTCGGCTCAGCCGATCCAGATGTTGGATCGGCTGAGTCGAACTCCTTCTGCACTTACGGTCGGCGGAACATGCTGAGCATGTTCGGCCGACCCGAAGTCACGCAAAGTGAGCCGATGTACGGCTGATTTCAGCCGATGTACGGCTGAAATCAGCCGTACCAGCCTGAAGTGAATAGCCGAACAGTGTTTGGCTCACTTCACTTCAGATCGGTCATTTACTCGGCTGCCTACGGCAGCTTCGTGAATAGACCCTTATATGTCTTTGTGCATATGGGATGGGGAATAGCTCTTACAGAAGAAGTCACACTTTGTATTATTTTTCATAGCACAGTCCTTTCACTCCCACAGTACATGTTGTTTTCTATCCCATGTGTCTGTGTGCAACAGGAACTAATTTACAAACTTTGACAGTTCACTCCTCTTCATTCCAGACCACACTCTGCAAAGCAGAATGACTCTTGATTGACAGCTTCTATCTAACTGTCTCTGCACTTTCCCGAAACAAAACAAGGCTCCCCTTCCAGTTTTCATGCTTGTGCTGATTCATGTGAGAGTGTGCCCTCTCCCTCTGCATTCCCATGACCTTGCTTGTGTCTGGAGAGTGCACAGACAGTGAGATAAGAGCTGTAAATCAAGAGTCTGTCTCCTTTTCCTCCGGCTGGAAATTAAGAGCATTGAACTGTCAAAGTCTGTAACTCAGTTTCTACTGCACACAAAAGAATGGGGTATAAAGCAATATACCCTGTGGAAGGTAGGTGCCTAAGCTGTGAAAAATAATACAAGGTGAGGCGTCTTCTTTTAGTGAATGAGCATAACAGGTGAGCCAATAAATCATAAAACTGTTATTAACCCCTTCACGACCAGTGCCGTACATAGCACATAGGCCCGTTTAAACAAACTCGCCACCGTGACTCTGTTTAGATTTGTAAAGCCGACTGTTGACTTCACAATAGAAGTGATTCTGGTGACTCCGCTGTCACCAGGTTGCTTCCATGGGCCGGTAAACTGCGCCCCCGTCCGACACCCCCTTTGTATTTCCCGGGCTCTGCTGCCCCTTCTACGGGACCAGGACCAGCATCTCGGGTGTCAATGGGAAGCTGGGTAGGAGAGCAGCATACATCAATTCACCGGTCTCCTTCTCGCACTATGGGAACGGGAGTGATGCAGCTTTTTTCATGTGTAAAGGTGATACTGGGGGTACCTAGTAAAGAGTACCTGTCACCGCCAATATGCTATCACATCTATGTGATAGCAATTAAAGTAAAGTAATAAAAGTAATAAAAAAATAACAGCTTTTAAAAATAATATTAAAAATAAAATAAATGTAAAAATAGTTTAAAAAAAAGTAAAGTCCCCTACCCCTGTGAGCATGCGCGTCTTCACATAAACACGCGTCGGGTGTGCCTGTGTACAAAAACGATGATTGCGCTACACATGTTGGGTATTGTTGCACATGCCAGAGTGAGAGCAATATTTCTAGTGCAAATATTTATTTGTATCTCTAAACTGGTGACCTGTAGGGACTCTTAAAGTGTCTGTGGACTTTTTGGGGTACTGAAATTTGTTGCAGTTTCACGGACACACACATTTTTTAACATGGGCATGTTGGGTATCTATTTGCTCGTTGTAACCTCATCCTCTATATTTTATTTTTTTTAAATTTGTATTTTATTGTGCTTAAAGTGCATTTTTTACTAAATTTTGGGGTTTCATAATAAATTGTGCTTTTATCATGCAACATAAACATGTGCAACTGCTGACATTTTACAGGGTCTTGGCTTATAGAAAATATATAATGTTTAGGGATTTGAAGTAATTTTCAGGCCTAAAATGTGGATTATAACATGGGTGCAAAAAAATGAAAAGAAAAAAAAGGCTTCGGTCATGTGGGGGTTAAAAATAATTAAATTGATATAAATGTGAATTTTTTTGTGCATATTGTTTTAAACATCATATACTTTTAAAATGCTGAGTACTTAAGAAATGCCATTTTTCTTAACTGGTTTAAGGCTAATGTATCATACATTTGTTATTGCTACAAATGCTTTGTCTTTTCTTTCTACAAGGTGACCTATACATAGGAGGTGTTGCCAAAGAAATGTACAAAACACTGCCAAAGCTTGTACACGCCAAGGAAGGATTCCAAGGCTGCCTTGCTTCTGTTGATCTGAATGGACGTCTTCCAGACTTGATCTCAGATGCTCTTTTGTGTAACGGACAAATAGAAAGAGGATGTGAAGGTACAGGAAGTTTTAATCAAAGTACATACATAGACAGTAGTTCTATCAGTTGTACAAAACCATCTGTTTCATTTATCATGTGTATGTTAATACATTTCATGTCTATTTTTCTTACATACTTTTTAGCTATTTGTATTTGATAAAGTACTTTGTTCTATGTATAGATAAGTGATATTTTTATATGTAAAAAATGTAACACAATTTAGCACAATTTTTGGAGCCAACAAAATCTCTACTATGCAAGAAATATTCATACTACTACATTTTTTTTATATTTAATGTTGTGTTGGATATATACTAAAACACTACAGTAAATTAGGATATTTGGGATTTTTTTATGTTCATAGAACTCATAACAGTGTTCATACATAAATATTTGATTTTATGTTGATTTTGATATTTTTTTACCATTACCATATTGTCATACCATTTGTTTCTTTTCCTTTTCTTTTATTTGGAGTTCACATTTTTATCAAAATAAATGTGTGTTTCATTTGTCTGAGACTTTGTTTTTTTTTCATGGAAGGGCTATACCATTTCATAATATGTATGTAATTTCAGAGTAACAAAAGTCATTGAATGTTCTCTCTTTAAACAAAACTATACATTTAGAGAGGAGTTCCAAGCTCTCTAAACATCTGCTTTTTCTGTGTGATCCCTATTCGTAGATTTTACAGTTGTACACAAGCTATGAGCATATGATAGATCGTATCCTGTCTCCCTTAGGAAATTCACCATCGGAGGATTATGATTAGGGATGCACAGATACTTTTCGAGTACCAGTGCAGATACTTGGCATTTTCATGAGAACTACCAGGGTTGTAGCGGTTGTAGCTGGGACCTGGCTCTGGCACTCCACCACTGTCCTGAAATTATTAGTCTGTATTGTTTTAGAAAAACAGTCACATTACAATAAACAAAAATGTATCAGTACTCGTACTTGTAAGTACTCGGCAAGTATCAGTACTCGTACTCGCAAAACTGGTATCTGCATCCCTTTATTTATATTTATAAAAACAAAATCGTACATTAAAACAGAAATATACAAATCCCAGGAGCTCTGTGTGCTCCTTACAAATGACAGCTGCCTCCTAATTTTTGAATTTTTCTCTAGTCTAGTCTTGGAGCTCAAATGTATCGTCCAAATGTACGAGTCCTAGACTCGTACTTGTACCGAGTACTGTACCTGGTATCTGTGCAACCCTAATTATGATTAATGCAATAAAAATCTGATAATGGTCAAAACTGGTTCTCACTGCTTAAGACAAGTGACACAACCCATTACAGGACCTCACATACGGTTTCTTAGTGCCTTAGTCCTCAACAATGGGAAATAATTCACAGTTAAATGGAAAATAAACAAGAATGTATCATTTTACACTGTTATATGTGTGTTTACACTACACATAGAGCATAGGCTGGGTAAATTCTGATGTAGATATGAGCAAACAAATGCATGTGAAATGAACTTGGCCAAAAATCCAACGGATTAAAAATTTACTAAAATGCAAACATTCTGTTATATTCACCCAAAAGCAATCCACACCATTTTGTGGAGACATTTTGTTGTGTATGTAAAAGGTGGGCTCCCCACTAATGCCTATCTCTCTCACCCGACCAGGAAGTAGTTTTCCTATCCATGGTTAGGACCAGTCAGCAGGTCTGAAGTGCATGGACACTCTTCCGGTCTCACAACACAGACACAGGCAATGGCTGCATGTTTATCAAGCTAGAAAAGAGGGCAGATAAGTTGGTGGGGACTTGCTAGGGCAATTCTCTCTCAGGGTGTGCTGTCTATTTAACATTGGAAGATTCTTAAAAAGAAGGTTCATCAGTCTATACCTTTCATGTCCTGTCCTAGACCAGGCTGCATTGCTCAGCTTCAGTATAATGTACAGGGAGGTCTCTGAGAGTTTAGGACTCTATATGACAGGGTTTCCTGGATCATAACACCACAAGAAGAAAATTAAATATAGGTGACAATCACATATCTTAACTGTGTATTAGCCTAGCATTTAGTTTTAATACAGCATGAAAAGATTTTTGCATATGCCTGTGACTGTTCTACTTTAATGTGATGCCGCCTTCAATTCCAACCAGTTGGACTGGGTTGACACCGGGCCCTCCCATCGACCCTGGATTTGATGACCCATACAGTGCGCTCCCCAACCCTGCAGGCTGGCATCTGTAGTCAGGGTGATCCAGGTACCCAGCCCTAGAGGCAGCCCCTGAGAGAGGTACGGGGAATGCTTCCACCAGTATAACTCGCCTCGCATTGCTGAAGGCAGGAGTATCTTCTGTCCCAAAGCTGTGTGATTCCACTGCCGCAGAAAGCAAGTTTGGAACTGCCGCATGTGCCACCGTGCCCACTGCACCACTGGGATACATGCAGACATCATCCCTAGCAGATCCATACAATCCCTGGCCTGCAAGGCCCGTACAGTGATAACTTTGCCAACACAGGCGGAAATCTCCATCCTGCGCCGTTCTTGGCATTGATTAGCCACCCGAAGCGGGAGAGGGTTTCCAGAGCCACATCTCGGTGGACAAGTAGCTCTTGGCTCGACTTCCCCACGACCAGGATGTCGTCCAGGTAGTGGAATATTTTGATACGTTGGAGCCGCAGCAGTGCGATAACTGCTACCAACATTTTTGAAAAAGTCTGTGGGGCTGTTGACAGGCCGAAGGGCAGTGCCAGAAACTGAAAATGATGACCCACTATCGAAAACCGGAGATATTTCTGATGGCAATCCGCTATAGGCACATGCAGATAAGCGTCCTCAGATCCGCAGATAGATTCAGCTCCTCTAGGGCGGGGACTATCCGAGTGCTTTCGAATCCCGGTTTAAGTGTGGTGTCCACATTGGACACCCAAACCTTCAAGGCCTTCGAAAGAGAGGTCAGTGCCAAAGCGGGGCGCAATGCCCACCCAGCCGAGGAATATATTTTCTTTAAATCTGCATCTATGCGGCGGTCCATCACATCCTTGAAGGCCACTGAGTTGTCCAGTGGAAGGAAAATGTGGCGCGCCAGTCGTTGCAATGCTGCATCAACCACTGGTGGTGTATCCCGGAGTGCTGTGTCTACTGTTGCGAGAGGGTAGAGCTTCAAGAAGCGATTCTGGAAATTTAGCTTCCTATCCAGGTGCTCCCAATCCTCTTTAATGAGATCCCTAACCTCTGGCATTACCGGGAAGGTAGGGCCTTCCCGTCTTAGGCCTGGGAAATACTTTGGAACCTCCTTTGTTGGTTCTGCGCCCTCCCATTCGATGGCCTTCTTAATAGCCGTGATGAAGGGCTTAACTAGACTAAAATCAAAGGAAAGGAATTCCTGCCCCTCATGGATGGAGGAGGCGTCTGAGAATACTTCTCCCTCATCTGACACATTCACTGGCCTAGATCCCCTAGGTCGTGCTGCCGTGTCCCGAGAGGTAGATGCCACCGCAGGAAGTAAATCCTGCAGACTGTCCTTCACGGCCTGATGAATATAGGATCTAATCTCCAATGAGTCCGAGTCCTTGTCCCTGGCTACCTCTTTAAGGCATGCCTGACACAGCATCTTTCCTTGAAGGGCTGGTGAAGAACGTGACCAGCAGGAACCTGGTGGGAAGTCCTGTCCTCTGGACGGCAGGGACGCAGGATCTGCATGTGATCTATGTTTATGGTGCTGTGGAGAGCGCTCATGGCAAGAATCCGAAGTGGAGGAGCGCCTCCTAATCTTGCGTTTTCTAGATCTCTTATGCCCAGGGCTCTTACTCCTGAAAGGCAAAGAAATATTATAATATATCCATTATGCCACTCTTTTAATCTTTTGATCTTCGCCAATACTGCCTCCCTACCTTTCAGTAGCTTGCAGTGCGTCAGAAAGAGGACGAGGGGAGCTCATGATACTGCAGAATGCTGAAGAGAGAGACAGGAAAATAAGTACAGCGACCCAGGTAAACTACCCCTGCATCCAAACACCAAGACAGAGAGACTCCCCAACTGATAGAAACAGGACGCCCCACACAGTGGCAGCACGAGGATCCAAGAAACAGCTGAACCAGGCAGGATACAATGTGTCCCGCCGAGCTTTAAATCCCCCATGCTACCCGCTGATAGGAGCGGCTTATATTGGCCGGCCGAGTACGGCCCGACTGCGCCTGCGCGGCCACCAGCGTCCCGCCGTCCCCATAGCGATCCACGCGCTTGCGCAGATCTCGGGACCCAGACGCCGGCGCCTGCGCAGAAGGGATCACACTCGCCGCTACCTCGCGGCAGAAGAAAAAATAGGAAACCCTGAGACCAGAGCTCCCCACATGCCTGCTTGATGGACACCCGCTCCCAAGGAGATTTACAGCCAGCGGAGGGGTCTTCCAGGCTCGGGAGAGGCTGAACCCGGCTGGGAGATGGCAGGGAGGATCCAAGAACTGTGGCCTGGAGTGAGGAAAAAAAGAGAACAGGTACTGGGGGAGGGAGCTTGTCTTTTATAGCTAGTTAAAAGGTGGTCCTGTGGGGTCAGGGGGGAGGAGCTGACCCGTAGGTATGCCGACATGAGTTGAGCCAGGAAATATATATACTGCATATATAGATTATATAGATATATCTGTGCTGGCATGAAATTTAAAACAATTATCAGTTAGAGATGTGTAAAATGTATGATTCAGATGTGTTAAGACATGTTTTTTTTGTTTTTTTTATATAGACCTTAATTATTGTAGGAGCAGACTAATTTAGCTATGCAATACGTATATGTATTTAAGATAATATTGGGTTATCTTAATTGCATTGATCCCTATTATCTGCAGTGTAGTGCAATGCCTCGGAAATGTAACAGTTTGCTGTTCTAAGGGAGGATTATCAGATCTCCTGAGAATTACTAGCAGCAAGGTACCCATAACAAAGAAAAGTAAATATGCTTCAGTGAATTGTGCTTTCTGTCGTAGATGGACTCTATTGGTTAGATGTCTCAATTCACACATTCATCCTGCAAATAATCCAATCCATTCCCGGAGCTTAGAC